GGACCATTGTACAGCGTATTCATACAGCGCTGTACTTAAGCGGCAGCGGTGTGGATCCGCTTGGAAACAATATGGTTTCTAATTGCGAGTTGTCGCAACTCTCAATATAAAGGGACTCTAGGCTGAACAAAGGAGCTATATATAACAAGGAGAAGAAGCAGATTGGCTGTATGCTTTTCGCCTCAAAGGCGCCATCTCTGGACCATAATCAGCTGAAACGGCTGTGCAGATCAAACCAAGAGACAATAGAACACCAATCTTCCTCTCCTTGTTATATTTAACTCCTTGGGCTGAACAATTCATTCAGGGAAAGAAGTGAAATTGAAACGGTAACTTATTTTCTGTCGCTGTTTCGTTGGAGTTCCTACAATTGAATATGCGACGAGAATCTGCGGAAAAAGAAAAAACAATCAATTAGTGACTGCCTTGATTCGAGTAGCGAATAATATTCAGTCAGCGAAACAGCATGGGAAACGCATCACTTCAACGTTACATGCTAAGAATTTTGTGGATCACAATTACAACAGTTTTGTAAATTTTGGGATACTCTAAATGTAGGGAGCCCCAAATGTTGGGGGGCCAGGGCACGTGCCCCTGTTGCCCCGCCCTTAATCCGCTAGTGATCATACCTGTTCTCCTTTGCGTAATCATCATGTATCTTTCATTATGTATCTTTAATTATGTTAAAGGGATCGTTTACTCTAGGTTCTAGGGTTATTTTCAGTTACTTTAGGTTAAAATTAAGCTACATAAAAAGTTTTATGGTTTAATCACAATTAGAAATATTATTAAAAAATGTTTTAAAACTAACGACTACAGTTTGATTACAACAACGGTGGTGCCAGTCAAAGCGCACGATCTGATAAGTTGCGCAAAACCACTTTTCAGCCAAGGGCTACAGACCGAGGGTGTTTCTATTTATTAATTTAAAAGCAAAAGGATTGTAATATCTTATAAACGATATATAGTTTCAGTTATACTATGGATAAATTTGTCTTAAAACGAACATCTTTCGGTTAAATAGCATTTAGGTATAAATATAATTGCACCTTTGTGATTAGCCCTCGGTCTGTAACGTGCAAAATAAATTGGCAAATGCGCCACTTTTTTAGGGTGGCAGCACGGTCGCGGGTGTCATGGCGCCGTTCAAATTTCGTAGCGTTGATGTGTAATTAATTATAATAATTTAATTAGGTATCTGGTAACAAATACGTGTGGGTATAGACGATTTGTTATACAGTAAGTACAGTTGTATGCAGTAAAATCCTAAAGTCTACTATCACTTTAAACTCATGTATCTATATAACAGCCATCATAAATAATATCATATTTAAGGAGTGCATGGCTGACTCGAAGACTTCACAGTCAATTCGCCCTACTACGCAATTCTGAAACTAATATAACCAGTTATATTATGTATGTATATTGTAATGCGTGAATAAACATTTTTGAATTGAAAAAATTGAAAAGTGTGCAGCAGCTAGGCCTAGCAGCTAGCGTGCGGCAGCCAGCGTGTGTTGCAGACATGGTTGCAGATGAGCATTTGGACGGCATTTACAGGAAATTGCCGGCAATAATAGGTGAAAGAGAGTAGAGAAACAGTGCAAAACTTTGGTAGCAAATAGCTTTCGTATTTATTTAGCATTATATTTTGTTGAAACGCTCCAAGTGCCTGTGAGTGTGAGTCTAGCGGCTAGCCTCTATACTACTACTACTATACTACTTAATTTTTTTTATAGCTAGAGAATATTCTATTTCTAGATTTCTATAGATAGACCTTTAAATATTTTACGTCAGATATGACCCAGGCAGAAATTTCAAGAATATTTAAAGGAATATATAAGAATTCACCAACTTAAAGTTTTTATCAGGATTCCAACTGAGGACGAACAACTGAACTGTAATGTCGCTCTATATGGGACATTCTATTTGGAACAACATCAATAAGTAACCACGAAGTCGGCCATGTGCGATTAGGAGAGAGAGAACATGCTCTTCCGTTTATTATAGGTGGCAGCACCTTACGATACATTACATCTCCCTTCTTAAATAGATTTTGCACACAAAGAATAATGTTCCAACTAATTATATATATATATATACAGATTACATAACTGATGCTTATGCGCTTCTTTATCTCAATGTTTTGCGAACCACACGACCACTCCTTGTAACAGTTTCACCAGCTTCCGGTGGCGGCTCATCTGACGGTGGTTGTTCGACTATGTCTGGCACCATCGGTTCATCTCGGTTGGGTTCATACCGTACATAGGCAGCTCTGTTCTTTGGTTCAAACTGCTTTTCTGCTTCTTTTGACGGTCGAATATTTATTCGATTTATTCTGTATTTTCTACCTGTTGTAGTTTCGACAACATATGATCGTAGTTTGTCGCTTCGGTCCTTGACGGTTGCTGGTTGCCAGGTGTGCTCATTCACCTGTACCCGTACACGATCACCTGGTTGTAACGCAGATAGTGACTTTCCTGCATGTCGGTCGAAATAATCCTTCTGAACATGTTGACGCGCGATGTGTTTAGCTACTACATCTGACGTGTCTTCTGCGTGTGAATATAAAAACGTATGTGACGTAGGCAGTGTTGCTCTCAACCGGCGACTCATGAGGAGCTGTGCAGGCGATTTACCAATATTGTCTACTGGCGTGTTTCTCAAATCCAGCAATGCCAAATATGGATCGTTACCTTCCTCGCGACATTTCTTGATCATCGTTTTCATGGTTTTCACTGCATTCTCCGCTTGTCCGTTCGATTGTGGAAATCGAGGACTTGATGTGATATGGCGAAAGTCCCACGTTGCTGCAAATTTCATAAATTCTGATGATGTCAGCTGCGGACCATTATCCGACATTAGCGTGTCTGGTATGCCATGTCTTGCGAAAACCGATTTCAGTTTGTTTAACTGTTGTACTGGTTTGATCTCTCAGTTGCATCACTTCAGAGAACTTTGAGTAATAGTCAACAACAACTATATAATCGTCTCCCTTACATGTAAATATGTCGACGCCTACATTTGACCACGGACGATCGGGTACTGTGTGCGGCATTAACGGTTCTTTTGCGTTGTCTGTTTTGTATTTGGCTCATATAGTACATTTCTCTACAGTCTCTTGAATCTGTTGACTCATGCCAGGCCAAAACAGTACATCTCTGGCTCTTTGCTTGCTTCTCACGATGCCTTGATGCGACTCGTGTATTTTCTTCAGAGTTTCAGTTTGGAGCCTTTCGGGCACGATTACTCGGTCACTTTTGAAAAGCAGCTGATCGTGGTACGCGATTTCATCTCGGAAACTCCAATATGGCTTCACTGATGCCGGACATTCATTCTTTGATTCTGGCCATCCAAACCGAATGGGAGTCGGAGAAAGCTGTATCTCCCAAATATTGTGTTTATGGTACACATCTTAGAACTCTCGTCATCCAGCTCGATGTGCCAATAACTGTGACGCGCGTCCAATTTCGTGAACTTTGTTGCGTTGCCAATTTGTGCAGCAACTTCTTCTACCGTTACTGTCGGATGATGTTCACGCATTATGACTTTGTTTAAGTCCGTCGGATCAATGCAAATCCGTAACTTGTCCCCTTTCTGTACAGTAACCATCGAGTTAACCCATCGTGTAGGCTCTCGCTGTTTGACGATGCCGCCCATTTGTTCCATGCAGTCGAGTTCAACTTTGACTCTATCGCGAATAGCATATGGTATTCTGCGTGGTGGGTGTACAACTGGCGTAGCATTTGGGTTCAACATGATCGAGTACTAACCTGGTAGCTTTTCTAGGCCTTTGCATAGATCAGGGTAATCTGTTTCTATGTTAACAGAGTTTACCTCAAGTCTTCTCAGTAAGCCTAAGTCCACGCATGCATCCTTCCCGAGGATTGGTGACACTTCGAGACTGACGACTTGGAATGTGAGGTTTGTAGATCTCTTGTTAACTGAACATTTTAGATTCACCTGGCCTTCTGGCTTAATTATGTGCAGACTGTAGCTCTTTAGATGTACCTTAGTTGATTGCAGCGGACCAGTGTAAAATGAACGCAGTGTGTCGATTGGAATAACATTAGCTTGTGCTGCTGTATCGAGCTTAAAATCAATGTCATGTCTATCGTCCACCCTGACAGCTTGTGTCTAGTCAGACGTAAGTGCATTGGCTTTTAGTGTTACTCCGTCTAGACATAGATACTGATACGATTGATCATCATCCGTTTGAGCACTGATTTCCGACACATCATGTTGTTGCTTGGAACGGCACACCTTTGCGAAAAGATTTTGTTTGCGGTAAATTGCACATGCTTTACCGTACGCAGGGCATTGTTTCGGCATATGATGTCTTCCACATTTACCACAAAGAGTATCATTTCCTTTGGTATTTTTACCTGGGTGTTTGTATGCTGTGCTTTTAGACTTCCACTGTTTACCTTGCTTTCTCATCTGATCTCTGCTGTACGTGATGGCAGATATGGTGGAATCTTCTGTAATACTTTTGAGTTGTGTGGCACTGGCTTCTATAGCTCGGCATTTGTCTACAGCTTTTCTGAGTGTTAGTTCAGAATCTTGTAGCAGTTGCTCTCGTACCTCTCTATTCAGGATTCCACACACGATTCGATCTCTAATTAAATCATCCTGTAGGTTACCAAATTCGCAGTCCTTAGCCTTGAGTTTGATATCAGTGAAAAACGAGTCAAATTTCTCACCTGATGCTTGGTTCCTACTGAAGAATATGAATCGCACATAGGTAATGTTTTTCTTCGGCCGACAGTACTCCTGAAACTTTGTCTTGACAGTTTCTATTTTGTCTCGGTCTTCTTGGTCGGCGAATTCGAATGAATTAAACACCTGCTGCGCTTGTGGGCCAGCGACGTGTAGAAACGTGGCTACTTGCACATTCCCGCCTTTT